AAATTGACGTTACTGTGGAACCTATCGTTATCAATCTAGGAGACGAAGATAATTCATCAGAATATTCAGAGGATGAATTTTAATATACCTACTTTTTTATTTTCTTTATTGTACATTTATACAACACTACATTTGCTCACCATAATTTGAATTTTCAAAATACATATATTTTTGTGTGGAATAAAAGTCTATTCATTAAATTTAAATAAATATTTTGATAATAATATTGAATAATTTTATTTGAATTACTAAAAACCCTCTTAACCCGGTTATGATGCTTAAAGTAGCCTCATGTTTTGAAATGCTGTTTTTATATTGTTTACTTATAAGAGAAATGGACCGAGAAATTGAAGCGGCATAGACAAAGACGGATTGTCGGGGATTAAATTTTAGCTACCTGCTACAATTTAGTACAGTTCGATCGCACAAAGTTTTTTTTTAAAAGTACACCTCATCCTATACCGATAATACATAATATAAAAATATTGAATATAAGCACCAGTACCTACTACATTTATTTACGATTTGCATACATAATAAGCTTTTATTACTCTCTTTCATTTCTAAACAGACTATATCGAAGTTTATTCATTTGACAATATGTACCTAATGGAATAAAAATGAAAGGTAAAAATAAATTTTTTGTCCTAAACTATGTTCTTGTTCCAGTACCATGTAATTAAGTGTACCGCCGCACTTGACTTAATATCCTGAAATCGAGAAGGGAAATCCCAATGGCGACTACTCAAGGAGAAATCAGGGTGGGTCCCGGAAACCAGGTAAAAGACATTTATGTACGTTGAGACAAAACACACGGTAACATCAAAATTTTTTACCATCTTATCTAAATTTTAGATCTAGCTACACGAACGAGTACGTATTTAAAAAATATTTACCGTACCGACCGCCAAAACATTTCACATTTTACTAAAGTTGCCAAGTTGTCTCTAAACAAACACACTGTCAGGATTTTTTTACGGCTATGTGCAATAAATTGGAGTCACGAGTTACCAGCTATATCGGGCAGGTTATTTATTGGTAGCGGTGTGAAATGTCAAAATATAGCATTATAATTTGGAAAAGTGAGGCATAACAAATTACCGAAACGTATGCTTCTACAAATTTCGGTAGCGTCTTGTAGTCACTGAGACTGATAAACGAGAAACATAATTCGACTTTGAGTAATTTTTTTCAATTTAAATTCACTTATTTTGGGTTAGTAATGAAAGATAGTATATACAAAGTGATTAATCTTTCACTCTGTTTAAAACTCAATTCTTGCAATCGCTTGAAAATATATTTGCACGGTGTTAGTACAAATGTGAAATGTGGGGTAATGTGGTTGTGATCGGTTCTTTAACAATTTTTTTTACTCGTTCTTATAGTTAGTTTGTACATATCTGTATTGGCATGACTTCTATTGGCAGACTGCACGACTTCTCGGGATATTTAGTTTTAAAAGCATGGTAGACCTGGTTGAAGAAAACTTACAACTGACGTAACTACCAACCAGCTACTGAGGTGGCCATAGCAACTACTATAAGCCACCTAATGATGAGTATTTATGTCATTGTTCGACAGGGTGTGACTTAAGTAGATAAAAATTATTTCAAATTACTCTTTGGACCATTTTAAAGGGACTGGTGATTTAACTAAGATATGGGTAAAAATTCACTGAATTTATATGGCACTATGGCACAGGCCCGGATCCAGAGGGGGTGGCGATGTGGCGATCGCCACCCCCAAAGCACAACATTTTTTAAAGATCTTCAATTTCTCCAAACGACAACAGGCAGTTAGTCGATATTAATGCAAGTAGAAGGATTCATTAGTGTCAAGCTCCTCTGAAAAAGTGCCACATTTTTCATTAGTTTATTGCTATTTTGCAATGCAAATTTTAAAAATTTTGGTTCGCCAATATGCCTATCTTGTACAACATTCAATAATGAACAAAAAATCTTTAGTTACTTTTTTTCGTCCGAGGCTTCCTTTACGAATAATAAGCGATAATATCCGAAAAAACGGGCCATTTTTGAATTATTTCGCACTTTTCATTAATTTAAACAAACTTCCCAAGGTTTTCAGCTTTCCGCAGGTCGATATTCCGAATGTACACATTTTCCCGGTTCGATTAAAAAAAAAACAGGTTTACATCAAGCAACAGCCATTTCGGCTCGTTTTTTGGCTCCGCCGACTGGACTATTATGACTTTTAACGAAACGGAGACAGGTAGATAGAGCCAGTCAATAGATTGCCTGTCTGCCTGTTAGGATTTTCCGTACGCCTGTCTCAAAACGTTTATGGCGCAATAAATTTTTATGGCTTGAATGGGAAATTTCGTTATTTTTCTTTTACGTTTTTATTTTGAATCTCAAAACCCGGAATTTTTGGATTACGCGTTTTCTTGTCTCTTGGAGATACCTACCTACCTAGATAGCGTTCTTTTGTAAAATATCGATTTTTGTATCAATAAATATATGCATAATGTTTTTAGATTAAATATCTCTTGTCATTCAAAAATCCCCCCTCCCCCTTCCTAACCTACACCTTACGTCATCAAAAAAATAACAACAACAATAATAATAATAATGATAAAGAAGTGCTTTGCGCCACCCCCAAAACCAGTCTCTGGATCCGGGCCTGCTATGGCAACCGAAAATTGGTAGCCTACTCTACCACTGTTAATACCAGAACACCATTTTTTTATATTTAATTGTTTTTTCTTCTTAAAATGAGCCTAAAATATTTTTACATTCTTAAGTTACAAATCCTGTAGATATATCTTGAAAATTATTACATTTTTCATGGTTTGGTTATTATGGTCACCCTATAGAAATATAATACTGTTGTTTAGTTATACTTATGTTATTACTGCTCGTTCACATGGTACGGATTCTGTTATTTTGTCAAATAGTTTTAAGTCTGCATGTTCAAACAATGGAGCATCGATTCGATTCACTTTAAATAATACATTATCATCACGTATCATACCATGTGTACGAGGGGTTAGTACTGTAGATAAGATATATTTCTTTGTCAAAATTAAAAATATTTGTTTTTAATTTTGTTCTTTTGTTCATTTCTTCAGTTACATTAAGTTTATAATATTATGCTTAATTTGCTGGTGATATAAAAGCAAAATAAATATTACGCAGACAGACAGAAGTCTATTAAAGCGATTTCCAGATTTTAATTTTAATTAGCAATAAAATAGCAAAAAATCGGCGAAAATCACGTTAGTGATCGCAAAAAAATTTGTTCTAAACTTGATCAAGTGGATTTCTTATGTATTTTCATGTGCTGTATCCAAATCTAATCTTTTGAGCTGCATCACTTCCAGATTTTACAAAAATCGTAAAATAATAGCAAAAAAATACCAAAAATTGCAAAAAATTTGTCAGAAATTGCGTTAGTGAGCGCAAAAAAATTGAAAAATTTTTTTTTCTGACCCTGATCAAGTATGTTTCTTATGTATGATACGCTGAATTTGAGTCAGAAGTCTATTAGCTGTATCCCCCTACAGATTTTGCAATTAAACGCAAAAAAATAGCTGAAAATGACAATAAATCATATTAATGAGAGAGAAAATTTAGAAAAAGGTTTTTTAGATTGGGCAAAGCCTTCTTCTCACAAATTTTGTCGAGTAGAATTTGAATCTAAAGTGTGTTGAGCCTCATTACCCAAAAGTTTTACAAAAATCGCAAAATATCGCTAAAAAAAAAGAAATTGTGAATCCCAAAAAATGGATATGAATTCCAAATAAATTCGACTGACTCGAACCAGGCTTTCTTTGATGTTGCTCTTACATTTTTCTCATCAACAAAGCTCAAAAAGACGTACGAGAATTTGCAGATAGTGTTGAAGAAAATAAACTACCCGGATCAATGGAAAGTATGCGATGATCTAAAAATTCCAACCATGATTCTAGGCCAGCAATCGGTGTTCACAAAATATCCCTGCTTCTTATGTTTATGGGATAGCAGGGATAGGAAAAATCACTACGTAGACATAGACCACTGATTGAGTCTTCAAAAATCCTCCTCTTCATATCAAATTTGGTCTCATGAAACAGTTTATCAAAGCTTTGAACAAAGACGGTGACTGTTTTCATTATTACGGAGAGAAGTTTCCAGCGATAAGTGGTGCAAACTTGAAAGAAGGTATTTTTGAAGGTCCTCAAATTCATACTCTTTTTCGAAACCAAGATTTCATCACAAGGATGAATGATACTGGAAAAGCAGCGTGACAAAGTTTCAATAATATCTCTCGGAATTTTTTAAGAAATGTGAATAGTGGGGATTACGGAAATTGGGTTGAAGAGATGAAAAATTTCATAAGGTAGGTAGGTTGAGAAACCCGCTGCATCATTCGAAGAGAAAAGAGTTCGCTACAAGAGAAGAAAAGTGTAAGAGCAACATCAAAGAAAACCTGGTTCGAGTCAGTCGAATTTAGTTAGAAGTAATTCATATCCATGACCTTTATTCAAGATTTTTTGGGATTCACGATTTCCAATTTTTTGCGTTAATTTGCGATTTTTACAAAATTTTCCGATAATGAGACTCGGCAGACTTTAATTCACATTCGGCTCGACCAAAATTTATGAGAAGAACACTTGATCCAATCTAGAAAACTTCTTTCTGTAGTAACCTGTTTCAAATATTTAAAAAATCTCGCGCGATTTACTTATTCGAATAAGAAGAAGAAGAGGAGATCTGGAGTAAAGTTCAGTGTTCTTAGTTCTTACTTCTTATCAGAGAACATACTTATCAGGTTCTATGCTTGTTGTCTTATGGCCGGTCCTCATGTACAATAATTTAGTGCGGAACTGCGGAGATGCGGAATCACGTGATCACAATATCGAAAAAATATTGGACGCACAGCAGACATTTTGAAAAAGTGACAGATCCGCATGCGTTCCGGATAAAAGTTGACTAGGTTCAACTTTTTCCGTATTCCGGTACTTTTGTGCTCGTGTGACATTTATCGACCATTTGTACCTAGATAAATGATACTATAGATAGGAAACTTTAACAGATTTCGTGGTCATTAACAGCGCTAACTGTTGACACTTTCTCCAACTTCTATTGCTTTCCTTTTCTAGGAATTATCGGTAATACAGTGAGTTAAATTACCTGTAGCCGGTAAAAGATGCAAGCGCCATCTAGTTGTACGCTCTACAACTATATACCTACCTACTCAATATTTGTTTTAGGTATTCTGCCGCCGCTAAATTTAAAATTACATAACAAATCTCACCCTACACAGATCACTCAGAAATTGATTTTGTAAAATAATTTTCACGTAGATAATTTTTTTTGTCACCATGAGAAAATAAGTACATTTGATAAAAAGCATTAAAATCACTCAAGCATTAAAGACACTTTTAAATGCTCTAATAGTCTTCCTACTTAAAATAAGAAATAATTTTGATACTGTAACTTTTTAAAATGTTTGTTGAAAAAATTTCAAATTTCAGTACATATTTTGAAAAAAAAAGAGTGAAAATGATTATAGAGTTTCAGTGCTTTCTATATTGTATTAGCTTTCACGGTGAATAAAAAAATATTACAAGTAAATAATTTTACTAAACCAATCTTTGATTAATTCTTGTAATAGAGATTTATTATGCAACTTTAAATTTTTCGTTGTGTTGATATCCATAAAAAAAACTACCTACCTCTGATCACATTTTTTATTAAAAAAA